GATCAGACGCTTGGCCAGTGGTCTTGGGAGACTGCGCGGCAACATCATGGGCTTTCCCGGATACCACACCGGCTGGGACTGTCGCGGGTTTCCGAGAAACGGGGCGGGGATCCGGACTTTGTAGAACAGGTGTGTCTTGATGTGCACCTGCATCGCTTCACAGGTTTCACACAGATCGTAGTCGATACAGTTGGCACATCGATACCGGATGCCTTGAATCGGCATCGCGCCACAGCTGTTACACGTCACCCCCCGATGGATATACCCATCCCGCCGCGCCTGGTCCTCAGCGATGTGGTACAGCAGGTTGAGCAGATTCTGCCCTTCGCGTGTAGGAGATCCATCGTTATTGCCCTCACGCCACGAGAACATGCTCTGGTCGTCCAGCATCGTTTCACCACCGTCGGGGGCCGGTTGCTCCTGGGGCGACGGCTCTGGAGCGGGAGCAGGAGTGGGCGTGGCCAGCGTCACTCTCTCTCCGTTCTGTCGGCGACGACGAAGCTCTTCGCCGTAGTTCTGATCAGCGTTGAATCGCTGTATGGCTCTTACAATGCTGACTCGAGAGATGCCGCGGCGATGCAGCTCGGCGACGAGGTATTCCCACTCCCTCGAGCCCTCCCGGATCGTGTGCGAGGGAGGGAAGTCCAGAGCGAAAAACGACTCCAAGAAGGTATCCTCCATCATCTCGCGCATACGCTCCGCATGACCGGGAGGAATACCCACCTCCGCCATCAGCTGGTCGCGGGTCGCCAACAAGGATGGGAGCAGACCACTTTCCACCCGTCTGCCATCTTCGGTCTCGATGCGGAAGGTCCCGTAGGCGCCATTCTCACGTTCCAGCTGCTCGAGGTGATGGATGGCCCTCCAGGAGGGCGTGTTCATCAAGCCATAATCCGGTTGGCGACTGCGACGGACGGCATTGCGCCGACGTAAGGGAGCTGAGGGCTGCGACGAGGAAACGACGGCGGAGTGGATGTAGATCAGCGCATAGACCGCGGTGACGCCGGTGAGGAGGTACAGGACGGGGCGGTAGCGCGACCACGACACCGGAGTTGACGAGGCTTCGGACATGACGGGGGGATCTATCAAAGCATGGTCGAAGCAGAAAGGAAGATGGTGTACCTGCTAGCTCTGGAGCTGGCTGGCGGATGCCAGACGACCTATGGACTTAGCATCGGTCGTGGGAGCGAGTTGCAGTTTGGTTCACCCTGAGGCTAATGTGGATCAAAGGAGATAGAAGAATATCCGCGCATGCAAGGTGCGTCAACTTGGTGAGAAAGCCTTTGACGCGTGTTGTTGCGTTGATTGATTTGCCATCAATTTCAACCTGGAGATCGGAGGTGAGACGGAACATCTCCACGCCTCCGCCGTCACCGCCTTTCAGTCCGCCCGCTTCTGCCAGATTACTCAGGCATACCACAGCCCTGAGATAAACAGACTACATGGCCACGAGAGGACCTGTGGAAATGAAAGAATAAACTAGCTGTTTATTTAGTTGCCGTTACTTTGGATAAATCAATTTATCTGTTGCTCCTCTTCTTTGTTCTTAATAATTGCATGGTGAGTTTCCTATAATTATAATCAGAAACCATATAACAGTGTTCAAACAGGAAACTTCTCAGAAACGAAAGCACAAAAGAGATAAAGCAAATAAGACAGGGCGATAGGATGGATTAGTTATTCATCCGACAAGCAACGTTGTAAAATATTAATAGAAAACTCTCACTCCAACCCCATAGAAGAGTTATTCTTGGGCATGGGGCTACTACCTTAAGAACCATTGCACTAAGCAAAGCTACAGGACTTTAAAAGACCAGTATGTTTTTGCATCATGATCGCAAGTTGCAACCAGCTTGCATAGATTATAGAGATCTTATTCCGACAGTATGCCATAGTGACCAAAGCACCAAAGAGCACCATTGTTGTTTGAAACAAAAGAATCTATCAGAAGTTAGTTTGATAATAATAAAAGCAATTAAATAATATATTATTGCTAGGCAAGAAGTGGTAACTCAGAAAAAGCAGTGCTCTACAACAACAAAAAGATCTGCTACACGAGTAATAGGACCAGTAGTAGGAAGAAAGAAAGAAAGAAAAGGAGATGAAACAGAACAATATGCTTCCCCCCCCCCTTTTAAACAGGTCTGTTTCTGATATGTACGACTGTACTGTACCTAGTTAGGTATACTTTTAGGCGGGAAGTTTAAAGTTACAAGCTATAGCCATGTGAGAAGGGAGCGCACAAATCTTATTACAGATCTGGTTTCATATGTATTCTGTCTATAAATTTGGCCTTGGGTAAGTTAAAGAGCTTAATATTGGGGGAATTGGGCTGATTTTAATCCAATCTGATACTTATATATGGACTATTAGACTTTCTATATAGGGAAGCAAGAGGCAGCAGAGGCGTCAGGCGTCCAACGCGGGTTTGAGTCATGTAGTCGAATTAAACTACATGTATGGTCAATCGCATTGGACTAATTGGTGAATTGATTCAGCCTGAGTTCTGCCTAGCCAGGGTGGCTGTACAGTACAGTACACATAACAACCTCCTACCTGCATGAAACTACCACCATAGTTTGATCTCCGATCACTCAATCTCTACAGTACATACTGTACATCTCAATCAACAATGACAACCAACTCATCCCAACCCCAATGCGACGACTGGAGCGTCTCCTCCGTCCCCAACCAGGATAACATCCCCTACTGCTCCATCGTCTACGACCACAACACCACCCACCGCGACATCTGGGCGTCGTGCTGCGCGCCCAACCCCGTGCAGATATACAATGGCTGTCTCGAATGGTGCGAGATCCCGAGCAGCTATTTCCAAGGCGTCGATAATACCACCCTCAGCAATGCCGACTCCGGAATAGTGACGTCGCTTTTCATGCAGTGTCTGACCAGTGGTGGTAGAAACGCCTCTGCTGCTGCTGCTGCTGCTGCTGCTGCTGCCAGTAATGATACGGCTGCGGATAATGGGACGCTTTGGGCGTATCAGACGGGGTGCAATTTCCCTGCCTCCAGCAATGCTGCGATACGGGGAGCGACGTTACCCTGGCAGCATCGTCATCATCAAGATGGGTTGCCGATTGTGCCGATTGTTGCCGTTTTGACCTATTTCTGGATGTTGGTGTTGCGGTAGGGATATTTACCGAGTACATGCGTATGTGGTTGGAGTCTTGAGATGTGTTCTGTCGGCGTTTGGAAACTTGGTGATTCGACCAGGAATGGCAAGCAAAAGACAAGACGAAGTGGGCGCATTGGCTCGAGATTCTTTTCATTCTTTCGCTCTATCTATCCTTCATATATACAAGATAACGACAGGAGGGTTCATATATGATGCAATGGTATAAAGGGAGGATGTCTGTCTCTAATCCCACGTGATTTGTCTGCACTGTGAACGTTGGTATATTTAATCTGCAAGCCAATAGAACTTTTTTGTTTGAGAAAGAAAGAAAGAAATATTCCTCTATCGACTGAGCTTCTGCTCGCGAATGAAGAAGCTGCTAAACAAAGCAAAGAAAACGATTCCGATCATAAAGGCGAAGCCCAGGTTGGTAGCCGTACCGTAGCAGCGCCGTACGATGTCGCGGATCTGCGGATCCAGCGTCTTGATGAACTCTAGACTCTGTCGCACCCCCTGGACGATCCGGTCGATGTCCTTGCTGTCCCTCAAGGCGGACCGTAGCCGCTCCCGGAGGATCTGCTGCACGACTGTGGCCGACAGGGATAACCCGATGATCGATCCGAGGGAACGGAACAGATACGAGCAGGCGGTCACGACGGCCTGGTCCTCGGGGGCAGCGTTGGAGACTGATCGAAGATCGGAATTAGTGATCTGATTCTCCTTCACCTAGAAAGAGATACTCACTCAGGCCGATTAATGTGGTGGTGACACCCATCCCATTCCCAAAAGCACACATCACCGTACCGATGATGATCATAGGCAGTGTGTTGACAATGGCTCCTGCGAACAGGAAGATCGTCGTCAGGCCTACTGTTAAGAGGCCATACGCAAACACCGTGATCCAATAAAACTTTCCAGTCCACCGCATCATGAAACCGGCAAACAACGAGCCTGATACGCCTGCGCAGACCTGCGGGATGAGGCGGACGCCGGCAATGGTCGCTGAAACACCATCCACGGCCTGGAAGAATAACGGCAGAAAGAAAAGAGCAGCCAGCCAGCCTCCGAAGCTGAAGAAGTTACACGCATAACACGCAACGAGCGTGCGGTCGAAGATGATGTGGCCCGGAGCAAACGGCTCCGCAGCGACATAGATCTCAACTAGGACGAACGCAATAAACAACACCGCAGAGACACTCAAAGAAACGATGGTGATTGGGAGACTCCAGGAGACGTTGCTGCCTCGGTCCATACCGAGAAGGAAGCCCGACACTGCTGTGACAAGGATGACGGCACCCAGAAAGTCGATGCGGCGAAGCTTCGCGCGCCAGTCGCCTTTGTCCTTCACTGGCAGTTTCAGCAACAGAGAAACCGAAATAAACGCCGCGAGGCAGATAGGCGCTTGCCCAATGAAGGCCCTATATCCCTGCGGTCAATACTTCGGGTAGTAACATATGGAAATCAGTCCAGGACTTACCACCGCCAGCCGATATAATCCGCTAGCAAACCGCCTAAGAATCGTCAACTAATAGCTCCGTGCAGAATTCGACAACAAGAACGAACCTAGTGGTGCGCCAACGCCTGCGCCAGTGGCGTATATAATGTTAATAATACCCTGCCAGAGGCCTCGATCTCGCAGGGGCACAAGATCACTCATCAGGATACTGACGACAGTCGTCATTCCCCCGCCGCCAATTCCCTGGAAAACCTAGACAAGACGCTTCAGCATTGGCAGTCAATTGATCCCACGCGTTCTGTCCACATACTCGTGCAGCGATGAGCTGCTTGATATCCTGCGCGAGGCCGCAGAACAAGCAACCCGTTCCGAAGACGACATAGGCAAAGAGCAGACATGCCTTCCGGCCAAAGATGTCGCTCAATCGACCGTATAGCGGCTGGAACGAGGTTAAGGTAAGGAAATACGAGGTCGTAATCCAGCTGGTGAGATTGAGAGCGTTCAGATCGCTTCCAATTTTGCCGTAGCTTGCTATGATAATGGTCTGATCTGCGGCGGATAGAAAGATCTGAAAGCATGCAAGGTCAGCTGACAAGTTCCATATGAATCCAGGCAAGGCGAGAAATAAACGTACCCCCATGGAGATGGCCGCAAAGATATACTTGATCTGACCCTGTACTTCCGGAGCACCCTGGAATTGGGCTTCCCTCGCCGCATTGAGTTGGGGCTGGGGCTCGGAGATGCAGCCATTACTGCTTGTCTGGTCACGCAGCAACGGCGTCGTCTCCGTCGCATTGCTCACTGAAGACGGAGACATCTTTGACCTCGAGATGCTGGCCGACGCTGTCTGTCCTGAGGTGCACTCGTGACCTTCCAATTGCTGCGAGCGAAGGCAGACTCGGAGTGCGGCGGCCAGAAACCCGAGGATATGAAAGATAATGAGTCTATTAGTAGATTGGCATCATTTGGCGCAAAAGCACGCTGTAGGAGCCCCGCAGGCATCGGCGCTGTGACTAATCAGGACCATCTCGGGCGGGGAACAACGGACGAATTCGCTGATAAAATAATCAGATCGGAAGTATATCCGAGCATGATTAATGGTTAGCCTGGCATGATTATAAAAATTGTACACTCTAAAGCAGTCTAAAACCCGATTTAGTCTTGGCATTCTTTGACAGTAAGACTATGAAAAAGCGGTCTCTAGGACATCCGTATCTCTTAAAAGATATTGTAACATCCTAAAAATAGGATATTCTGTCAGATCACATAATTGCATCGCTGATTCTAGTATATCGCTCAAGTAATGTGGGTATACAGATGTCATGGATGCAGGAAAGCAGCGTAAGAAATAGAGACTATCTACTGGACGCTCAGACGCTGATACCTCAACCTTTTTGCGCTTATGAAGAAAACAATCCTTCCCAACGGATCTCATGCCGACGTCGTTTCTGCTGGCTGGGTAGTTTCTGTCGTTGGCATGGGGACCGGCCCTCCAGGAGAATCTGGCAGCCGAGCTGTCAGCACCTCGACGCCATCCTCAGTCACCAGAAGCGTGTGCTCAAACTGGGCTGAGAGCGATCCATCCGCCGTCACACTAGTCCAGTCATCCGGCCACGTCTTATCCCGATGAGTGCCGAGGTTAATCATGGGCTCAATGGTGAAACACATGCCCGGCTTCGCAGTGCCAACCGCCTTGTTCTTTGCGTAGTGAGGAATGTTTGGCGCCGTGTGGAACAGCTGGTTGATGCCGTGTCCACAGTAGCTCTTGACGACACTGCAGTTGCGGCTCTTGGCATGCTTCTCAATCACGTTGCCTGGTTCCCGGAAGAGCATGCCAGGTTTGACTATCTCTATCGCCTTGTCCAGACATTCTCGAGCCGTCTCGACAACCCGCACAGCATCGGGATTGGCGCGAGCCTTATCGCCCACATAGTATGTCTCGTTCAAGTCGCCATGAAAGCCGCCGTGATATAAGGTGACATCGATGTTGATGATATCGCCATCCTCGAGCGGCCGCTGGTCGGGGATTCCGTGGCAGATCGTTTCATTGATCGAGGTACAAACTGATTTAGGGAAATGCATGTAGTTAAGCGGTGAGGGGTACGCCTTGATCCAGTCAGCAGGATGGTGCTAAATGGTATTCAAAAAGGAAAGAAAAGAGCAAAAAAAAAAAAGAGTGTGTGTGATGGATAGAGAGAAGTGCACCCACATTTCGCTCTATGCAGGCTTTGTGTACGATCTCATCAATATAATCTGTCGTCACTCCCGGTTTTATTGCGCGGGCAGCAATATCCAACACCTCTCTTGCCAGCCTGCAGACTTTCCTCATTCCCTCCTGTTCTTTCGCATTGAGAATGGTAATATTATGCCGGCCGACGAACTTCTGTTCCGATCGTGGGATGCCATCGCGCGCGTAATCAGGATGGGGGATGGACGCCGGAACCGTTCTTCGCGGGGAGAGAGGGTAGACCGGCCTGAGCGATCCAGTGAATTGGTACGTTGGGAAAGGGTTGTAGGTGCCCGTTGCTGGATCTGGTTCAGAAACCACCTTTGGAGGAAATAGATTGGTGAGGAAATTACTCTTGGTTTTGTGGATGACCTTATGGGAGCTCTATTCAGCCAAGTCAGCAGCGTTCAGGGAATAGGATTTCAAAGGCGAGGGTGCAACGAGTGCACCTTATGGTAGCACCAGGAAGCCTACCCAGCTCCGCTTGAAGCACTCCTGGGAGCAGAAGAAGCTGTCAGTGCCCATCTTCAGACAGGTTGGGCACTGCAGGTTCCCCGCCTCATTCTGGCAATCGACGCCAATGCATTTCCGCGTTGTAACCGCAGCTGCCATGACCAGGATGGAGATCGATCAGGTGTAATATAAATCTGACAAGAAACTCGATTGAAGAATGTATCTAAAACCACGCGTAGGTATCTCCAGTCTGAAGGGCTGGCGAGAAATGGAGAAATGCGAAATTCCAATCTCCGAACCGGGTCGGCTTCGCGTTCTTCCCATTCCGTGCGGCTCGCCAGCCACTGCCCGCCCACCAGCCGCTAAGCGCGGATCACCCGATAAGTGAAACAATCACCTTATCCATATAAACTATCAGCCTTCCAGCCACAAACTCTCCGTGCTGGTGCTACCCAGCTTTCATCCCAACTCAGTTGTTGCTGCATGACGGAAGCACAATTGCCAACCATGGCTGGCCCTTCCAAACAGAAGGTCGTCATAGTTGGCGCCGGACCTGTGGGGTCATTGGCTGCTCTCTACGCTGCTTCTCGTGGTGACGATGTCGAACTGTACGAACTACGTGGAGGTACGTTGTGCCGCAGTGTCTGTTTGATTCTGCATGGATCCGCATGATCTCCATGCATTCTCTGGAACTGTTTGTTATCCGTTCCTTCTCTGGTTCTTTAAGAAAATTGCTCTACATTCTAGACATGTCTCTCTCCCTCTCTCTCTCCCTATCTCTGTTTGTTTGTTTTGCCTCGTTAGAATGGCTGTATGAAATCATGTCCTTTCAGACCAGGGACTATGGCCTTTCCTTCTGCTTACCTCTGTTTTTAAAAATCCATCATCATTTGTCTTGAGTGTCAGGTATTCATTTGGATTCCTAGATCTCCGTGACCCCTCAACCATTCCATTGAACTTCACGAAGTCGATCAATCTGGCTCTTTCTGAACGCGGAATCAATGCAATGAAGCGCTCAGAACACACGAAAGTCATTGATGCAATTCTGCGCGATGCAATCCCGATGTACGGAAGAATGATCCACGGAAAAGATGCCTTGGGGAAGCTATGGGAGGCGGCCCAGGCATATGATGTCCATGGCAGGGTTTGTGCTCGATACGGCCCTAGTACCCACTAGTCGACAGGCTGACTTTGACTAGGCCATCAATTCTGTGGATCGAGCAATACTGAACAACGCACTTCTCGACGAACTCGACAGGACCCCAAACGTGAAGTTGTTCTTCAATTACAAGCTGACTGGGGCGGATTTTCGGGCCCGTAAAGCTTGGTTTGAGCGTCGTGTACCGGAGGGGGCAAACAATTCGTCGAAACCGAAGTCCCAACGTGCATCGGAAATCGAAGTGCAGTTTGACTTTTTGATTGGCGCAGACGGGGCTCACTCAGCAACCC